TCAGGGGATGAAAAAAGAAAAAAAATATGGCGAGAAACTGGTGCGCGAGTGCGAGTGCGAGTGTGGCTGCGTGCGAGCGAGAGAAAGAGCGAAACCGAGAAGCGCGCGTAAGAATGGAAGAGAGGCTGAGGGAGAGAGGGAGAGAAAGCAGGATTAAATGCAACCGATTATTTCGACACGAGCATGCGGTGGGTTTTAGGATAAATGATCTATTGACAAATGTTGTATATTATTACGAATTATAATGACACTATTATAATTAATTAATTAATCAATTAATTAATTATTATACCCTAATAACGTGAATTGAATTTAAAAGAAAAAAGAAAAAAAAATGAGCGACAGAAGACGGAAAGCGGAAAGAATGAACATACACGAGAACGAAAGATAAAGTAAAAATAGGAAGATAAAAAAAAAAAAAAAAGAAATAACGAGAGAAAGAAATTTTAAATGTTTGCAAAGCACACACGGAGCCGGAGGATAACAGCCTGAGAAAATGCGGAGCTCTGAAACGAACGCAGGCCGATCAGATTAGCCTCGCTGTGTCGCGCTGTCGGAGTGAACGGATGGGGGAAAAAAGTAAATAAATGATAAATAAATAAAGGAAAAAATTGAAAAAGTCGAAAGGTTGAAGCGAGGAAAAATGCTCTATGGCGCCGGTGAGAGACCGCGGATGGACCGAACGCTTTGCCAACGAGAAGTGCATCGACCAACTTTCCAACGAAAACCATTTTCTTCTGTCGAGTTTCTCTCGCTTTCGTACCGCGACCATTACACGCGAACCCTGTACATTCTTCGACTTTGTAAATTTTTCTGCTAGTAAACGAATTCGGATTTTACGCACGTCTACACTTCATTGATCGTCCGATGTCGTTCGTTCTTTAGCTTCTCCGCTCATCATTTCCCGCGTTCGAATCTTGGCGATGCATTTTTGGAATGTACAAAGTAGCAGCAGCCAAGACGCGGCGAGGATCGGAACGTTTGCGTTACGGTCCGTTGTCCGTTGTACCATTTTTCTTTTGTAAGATAATATTTTATCGCGAGTCAGGATCCAACGAGGGATCCTCGCCGTCTCGTGGCTGTTCTAGTTCAAAGTGGTCGTATACAAAGAATCATACAAATTAGTTTCTAACGTTGTGTACAAAAAGGAAAGGAAAGGGAAAAAAAGGGGAGAGGACACGACGGTGTAATTAACGATTATTATTTAACGCTCTTGGTGAAAGTAAATCGATCGTAGAAGCAAAAGCCAGCTCGAGCTGATTCGCGAGGAGTCGGTGTTCCTCGTTGATCGATTTCTCTGCCTCTTGGAACGTAAATCTCTCCGATTGCCTTCAGCATCGTCGCGTGAAATACTTCAAACGTGAATCATCGTTTTCCCCAAAGCGGGGATCCCTTTACCGTCGATGTTTACCGTCTGTGCTAGCCTTTTTCCGTTCCAAATTATTTCATCCCGACGCTTATTATTCGTATAAAATTCCCGTGTTCCTGCCAATAGAAGAACGAAACGATTACTTCGGCGTATATTCTCTCGCTTCTCGATTCCGACGTCTCGTCGCGGTCGCGGAGACGTTTTTCGCGGTACCCCGAAACCCTGCAAAGATTTCTTACCACCCCTCGTGTAAAGCGTTCGCAAGAACGCCCGAATGTCAGCTGCGACTCACGACGTCAGCCATTATCGCTCGTGTCGAGGCCACTCGACGTGTTCGCTCGTTAATCCCTCCCCCCGTAAAGGGAGGCAATTTTTCGTCAGAGAAAAAGCAAAGAATCGTTCCTTTCCGTCCACGGCAACCGTAGACCACCACGGAAGAATATGAAAGAGCGACGTTGGTCCCGGGTCAGGCATTATCCCGAACGGATGAGGTTGGCCGAGGGATAGGCAAAAGCATCGTTGCTCGAAAGCGTGTTCCTCGCAGCTTTTCGCAGAATTCCAGACGTAAGAGAAACAAACCTCCCCTCTTCTTTCGCGAGTCGCTGAAAATTCCGAGAAACAGAGAGAGGTAATCGACGAGGTGAACGCGTTCCTGTCTAATAATTAGTGTCTAGCTCCCCTGAATCTGACCCTCGGTCTGCGGCTGGAGGTGTTCCGAGTGATCGTTTGATAAGTGATCAGACCTGTGTACAATGCGGAAACGGACGAAGAGGAAGGTGCCAGTCGAGGCGGTTTATCGTCGTTCCAAGTTCAGAGGACCCGAACTACCCTCTCGCTTTCGTCCCAACGCTCTTGGAAATCGAGTCGAGCTTCTCTGTTGCTGTTCCTCCTCGCGCGAATCGCGACGCGTCCGTCTCGATCCTCGATCTTCTCGAATTTTTGCACGGACGCGTCGCGCGATCTTCGCATTCGCTTCTCGCCACTGGTGGCAAATTCTTCGCAACCCCTCGTGTCTCGCCGCGTTCGGAGTCGGGTGTTAGGAACGGAAAGATATTCGTTGGTCAGAGATTTATTTTCTTTTTCCTCTTTTTCATTTTCATTTCGAAGATCGTTCGTCGATAGTTTGGAAATTTCGATTTCACCGGGAAAGGTAGCGATATAGATATTTATCGATCGAGGCTCGAGGGGTGAACGATGCGATAGAAAGGTGAAAGAAAGATGGGAGGAGAGACGATAGAGAAGTGCACCGAACGTGTATATAAAGTATAACGTCCACAAGCGACTGGACACGAGCCGTTTGTTCATCTGTAAATATCCTGTCCTCTGAATTTGGCGCTAATCCGTGCCTGTGTGGTCGGTGTGAACAATATTGAGATTCTCGATCAGCGCATCGGTCAATCGCTAATTACTGGACCAGTCTTGAGCGACGGATGCGCACCGATATAGTGTATAAAGGGAAGGAAGAAATGAAGTAGCGAATTAGGGACGATTTAAAAAAAAAAAAAAAAGAAAATGCGATCAAGGAATAATTACACTTTACCCTCAGTGGACATGGGCTAGCTCGGTATATTATATTAATATACATTCAAAGTTGGCCCATCGCCATGACCAATGGGGTAATTAAGGGAGAACACAAGAATGAAAGAAAGAAAGAAACAAAAAAAAAAAATGTCATCTAATTACATTTTTACGCACTCCAAATTTTTATCCTCGTCATTTGTATCATAGCGACATGTGTTTAAAGAAGAATCCACATTATATGTATGTAATCAAAATTGTAACTGACAAAACGTTAATAAAAAAATGATATTCGAATCATCGTTCAGGACCTCCTCTTGAGTCGGTTTACATTTGGAGAAGTCGGGAGGGAGACGAAGGTAATGTAAAAATTTCGAAGTTATTTGGAAAAATAAAAGAAAGCGATACCTACGAGATACCTTGCTTTTAAATTGCGCGCCGAATCGAAAATCGATCGCGCTTGGCTTCCGCGTATACCCGTTGCTAGGTAGCCTTCCCCACCATTCGACGGCAGTCGTAGTGGGGGCAGCAGCATGGCGTCACGGAACGAGGCTACGCGTTCGGTAAATTTCTGTCGATAACTTTGTTATTATTCCATTTTACCTTGGCATAATTTTGCATGCAAAATTGCCGCGTTTTAAACTTTGTGCATACCATTTCCAAAGCGGCATATAGCCTGCCATTTTGTTACTTTATGAATATTCTACTTCGACGCGTAATCGCGCGTGGAATATCGATTAATTTTTAAAATTATTTTCAGACATTCTTTTTGAACGTCATAATATTCTATACCTCGTGACAAATATTCAATCATCGATTGGAAAATTATTTGCGAGAAATAAATTTGGTCAATTTTAAAGTTACCAACAGACGGGAAATGCAAGACTCCCGCGTCGATAACTGTTCGACTCACTGTACATTTACGGTTCGTTGGTAAAGTTCGACGCATTTTTATTTAAACTATCATTCACACGAAAGTTTATTCCAAACGTTCATTTTGATTTTTTATTACATATTTAAGTATGTTACATTTCTTTCAAGCAACGAATACGTGTAAACTTACCTTCTGTTATATTCAGTATACATCGATTCGCGCGAAGGTACGATAAGAATAATCAATTTCTTTATTATTATTTTAATTAACGTCAGCTACAATGAGGAAACGTTCGTTCAAACGTACAGGCGCTATAATAATATGCTCGAAACAATTGGTAACGGCGATACAAAATCTTTTAGGAAAATTTCTCGAAATCGTTTCATTCGCGGCTTTAACTTGTTATCGAACGAATCGTAAGACCTTGGCATGATCGTTATCGTCGTAGAACAAATATTCGAGTACCTCGGTTTGCGCACGTTGAACGGAAAAACACGAAACACGGCGTGCGTTTCGCTCGAATATGTCCGACGCATTGTCGATGTAACAGAACGATACCGATTTCCGTTTCTTCGCTACCGATCGCGGGATTCGCGAGACTCGCGGAGGAACGGTGGACCGACGTTCGAAAAGGAAACTAGGGAAGCCGAGAGCTAATGAAACATCTATAATCGTCGGATGATAGGAACACAGATGACTGCGGATTAATAACGAATGGTAACGTACGATTTATTATACAGTAACAATCTGTCGGGACTTATATACACGAGACTACGAAGTTCAGCGCTGGACGATCTCCGATCTACGTTTGGTCCGCTTCTAGGTGAAGAGCTGTCCGACTAAACGAATTACGAGGACCCACCGGATCCCGCAAACCTTCCTGACCTTACTCTAGAAAGTACCCTACGACGACAGCGGTATAAGAGTCTGTACAATATTTACACACACACACAGGGTTCACCCGCCCGACGCTCTCCACGACACGCCATTTCCCGACCTGTTCGTCATCCTCGTCCTCGCCCGCTCGCAGAACCGTCTTCTCGGATCTAACCCTGATCGGTTCACAGTTCCAGAAACCACTGGACGAACGCTTTCGCGAACCAAACCCGAAGCGAACGTGCACGTACGACACGAAGATTGCTCGAGTAGCAGCGCGAATTCGCGTAACGTGCGACACCGATCGAGATCCAGACGAACGTCGACCGAAGACGAAGACACTCGCACGCTAACGAGCCGGTGTTCAACGCGAAGGTACAACGAAGGAACATTCGGTTCACGACACGTCCTCCTTCGGAACTAACTATCGCGAAGTAGCACGGTTAAATCCGACGTCTGACTCCTCGTTTCCGACGTCTCGCCAGGAGTGTCGGGAGTGTCCGGGGCCACCAGGGGCTCTCTCTGACACCTGTCCCCTCTCCTGCAAGAGTTTACGATCACCTTCGAGCCGGTGCACAGTTTCTCCACCTGAACGGTCTTCCTCCAAGCAGGGTTCCGCTTCGACGACTCCGCGTTGCTCGATTTTCTCCTCGTCGGGGAGGAACTTGCACCGCGATTCCCGACGAACAGCAGACAGACGCGTCTCCACGCGCCGATCTCCTTTGCAGATGAAAAGATCACGCGTTCCGCGTTTCTCGCCTTTAGCCTGGTCCCGTTCCCTTTCGTCGTTTCTCTCGCATCGTCTCCGCTGCCTTTGCACAGCTGCTCCACCTCGTTCGACGATTGCTCCTCGGACGTGGACGCGACCGAATCTCTGGCCAGTAGTCGTGAAATCCTCGAGAGGAACGTGCTTCCCTCCGAGGACGCGTCCTTCTTGCGCCGCGGCGACGCGATGCTCTTCATCGTCTCCACGATCCTCCTTTTCAGCCACGAAATGTCCATAGATCGTATCTTCCGCACGGACGAGCGCTCCCTTGCCGCCTCGTCGCTCGTGTTCGTCGCTTCGCAGCTCGCGCGAGGCTGATCCCTCGCGTCCGGCAGAATTTTCGCGCGGCTGTTGCGCCGTTTGCTCAGCAGGCACGTCACGAACACCTGTGACACGAGAATAACGCGATTAAAAATTTTCCCATCGCGACAAGTGTCTTTTGCGGATTAAAGGTTTCGCTTTCAACGGCGGCGAAACTCGGCAGACGAATATTCGCGACGCGATGGGAGGCTGGTGGGAGAACGGGGTGGTCGCGTGTCGCTGGAACGCGACGCGAGGCGTCGGGACGGCGATGGCGTGGAAAAAGTTTGCGGTCGCATTATCCACCGGGAAGCTCCCGCGGGATACGGTTTATCGTATAATTCGTGGCGGTGTCGCGTTACTGTCGCTACTTTAACCCTATCTCCGGGGGAATTTCCGGCTGCTTTGGCCGCCGACGCGGGTCGGAAGTTGGCCACCTTGCGTGCACAATCGAATTCACCGTGTTCACGTGTACGCTCGGACCTCGATAATTCGGACCTCTTAACTCCGAGCCTCTGCCAGACGAATGTGTAAGTACTTTCTCCCTCTCGTTCCGTTCCCATTCGATACGTATACCTCTACGAATTGGAGCGAAACACCCTCTGACTCGAACTACGCTGTTCAACAAATTTTAAACTTTTCTAATTTTCTAATTTTTAACCGTTTGAGTCCGAAGCAGCGCGATCGCGCTTAACTTTGCTGATGCATGTACTGTGCGTTGCAGGAAAGAAGTCATCCGAGAAACTTGTAGGGCCGAATCCCCACCAGCTCAATCATTCTAACACCATGGCAGAAGTAGAGTAAAACGCCTCCCTTATTGGCAGAACTGATCCCTTCCTATTAGCCTGGTCATAGAACACCGTGTGACGAAGAAAGCGAACAAAGCAACGAGACAAAGTGAGACAGACGCAAAAAATAGATGCATGAGCGTAGACTCATCCCAAAGCGTAGTAGTGCTTCCAATTCGTTGCAAGTTAACTCTGAGATAACATTTCTTTCGCGGATATCTTACGCCTATGTTAACGTATCGCGTTACCGAACTTGGAGATAGTAGTTTTAGGAGTGTCATAGAAGAGTGGGTATTACTAACAAGAGTATAGGTGGAGCAAGTGGAATACCCCTCGCGTCCCGCAACCGAACGAGATGACTTCTTTCCTGCAACGCACAGTACGTCATATAGTACCGAGCGCTATTGCGACGATTGGGATCTTTCGACATAAAATTAAACAAGCGCTATCGCGCCGTTTGGACTACTTCGCACTCGATTAAGGCAAGCGTTATCGCGTTGTTCAGGGTTTTTCGACAGTGTTCTTCCGTAAACCTCAAGCGCTGCTTGAGACTCAAACGGTTCATATCCAATAGGTGGTTCACGTAGAGAACACTGTCCTGAACAAGAATCTGTAATCGAAATTGCTCTCTCACTCGCAGTTTTCGAACAATGTGAGTTTTTGTCTAAAAAGACAGGATTCTTACGAAAAATAAAGTATTAGGTGAAAAGTAAGAACGTTAGGAGGTTCATTGTGGGTTCGCAAATTAGGTAAGAGTATGTGCAGTTTATCAATGTCTATATTTATAATTGTTTATGCCTCTGGATAATTGTAATTGGTCATCGAAGTTTAAAAATAAGCCGCCGAGCGTACTTTCTGAGCATGTTCTTGCATTATTGCAACAAGTTCTTTATTCGACACGAATTTGATATATAGTAGCGTATTCTGTAGGCTTTTCTGAAGAAGAAACCATCCAGGAACAATATTAGGATGATGTTGAATATTCACGGGACGGTAAAATATATATGGGGAACCCGTAAGTGGGTTTTTGCCGCCACGCGGCCATTGCTCGCATATCTAGCTTCGTCAGGGCCGTACTCACGCGTAATCGACACCAACATCATCGTCCAGTAGATGTAATTTTTTTATACATGTATATCACGTGTATACATTTTCAGCAACGTCACTCTTTATACTAATTTATTATTAATTTATGTTAATTTACTCTTTTATACTAATCGGAAAATTATATGAAATTTTTGTAAATTCGAAAGTTTTGTTATTCGATATATAAATACGAATGATTTTCTACTATAAGGTTGTTAAAAAATAAACTTTCACTTAACTTTCAAGATACGGATGAATATTTTATTTTTGCTTCTCATGCAATACTTCATTTTAGTCAAAAATATAGACGAAATAAAAGTATTTTCATATGCATATACGTATCATAGAACTTCACTCTATAAAGATGCGAATGCAGTTTTAGTTTATGAAACATGTATAAACGATTAAATTTATTATTAATAATAAATTAATATTGTTACTAAAAAATTGTTTAGAACCTACATTTATAATACAAGTGGAAAAATTACTAAATTATAGGCTATTACTAGTATATATACCGTATTTGCGTGAAAATGTACCTATAATTAGCAAAAAATTAATAAATAGCTACATTTATTGTTAATAACAAATATTTTGCAACGTATATTAACGATAAAAGTAAAAAAAGTTAATAAATTATTAGTTACTACTTAAACAAACAACGTATTTGTGTTAAAATGTATTCGTAACTTTCAAGAAGCTAATAAATTAATAAATTTATTGTTAATAACAAATTAAAATCATTGTTAACAAATAGTTTGCAACGTATATTAACGATAAAAGTCAAGAAAGTTAATAAATTATTAGTTATTACAGGGGAAAGATAGCTTTTAAAGGAATCGGTAATGTTCGGAAATTTTCGCTGATCTTCGGCCGGCCGCCGCTATATAAGGGGCCGGCGTGAAGGCTCGAGCCAGTTGTCGGTTCGACTTCGGAAGGATCGCGTTAATATTTTTTCTTTCAGGAACTAATTATATTTTGTTTCAGGTTTTAATTATCTTTCTTCTTTCAGATTCTATTTCTTTTATTCTAGTTTGAATTGTTTATGCATTCGAGTATTTTATACAATATTCGAATGCTTCGTCGTTGGTTTATTTGTAAATCATCGTTGGCTAGATCAATGGCTATTCAGTGGCCATTGTCCACTCTCTTACATAATTTAACAATAATTTCTTTTTTCAGGTTCTAATTATTTTCCTTCTTCCAGATTTTATTTCTTTCATTCTATTTGTCTCTTTGTTTCAGCATTCGAGTATTTCGTACAATATTCGAATGCTTCGTCGTTGGTTTACTTATGTCTCATCGTTGGCTAAATCTTTCCTTTCACAAATTTTACGACTTCCGTTCGATTTGTTTTCGTTAGAGCGTTCGAGTATTTCGTATAATACTCGAGCGCTTCCTCGTTGGTATGTTTATATCTCACCGTTGGAATGTTTCTGTCTCGTAGTTATGTTGCTCAGGTCTCGTCGTTGGCTTGCTCGTTCCATTTGGTTATTAACCTTGATGGTTTCCTCGTACTAATCCCTTTCCTTTCAGCTACATATTAACAATAATATATTCTGTTTTAGCTTTTAGGTTTCTCAAGATTCTGTTTGCGACACATCAATGAACGATGCGTGCGTTTACTTTTAAGTAATCATAAGATAGATCCATAGACTAAGTATCATGTGCGCGCTATCTGTACAAAGGTAAGCTACCTAACTTGGAGCGAAATTTATAAATTCTCTATCATTTTCTTATCCCCCTCGTTTAGCAAATAGAACATAATTGTTCTCGCGATAATCGCGATCGTTCGTAAGTACCGACTAGCCTACGCGACGTGCTCTCGTGTACTCGATAAGTACATGCTTCGTAAGTCATCCTCACGACTCGTCTCCGACACTCATTTCCAGTCACTGTCAATCTCGTCATGCATCGGGTTCCAGGGTGACCCCCTCGGATCAGTGCGTCTTCTGACCTCGACGGGGCGGTCCGCTGCCTAAGTCGTACGCGACTGGGGCTCGGGCACATGCTGGCTGACGGACTAGTACCATCTACGGTTAGACCACAGGGATGATTAAGTTCTACCCCGTGTGGCTGGGATGCGAAGTGTCTGTCTTGGCCGGCAACCGCCCAGCAGGGCCCTCGCGTTGACACTAGAAGTTTCATTGGTTCAGGGACTATCCTTGGTCCACGTGTAAGTCTTGGCGAGTGCGACAGTGACTGGAATTGAGCTAGGCCCGATCGGGAGGGTGCCGAGGTATGAAGTTATCTCTGTACACGGGAGTACATCGCCTAGGCTAGTCGGTCTTTCGAATAATCGCGAACTCGTTCGGGCGCGTCGCGATTTTCTATTAGCTCGCGTGTTTGATATTTCATTCCCTATTTTTATGGGAACTTGAAAATATCTTAGCGTTGCGACAGTAGAGTTTCAGTATACCGAACCGAAACCCCTTTTGTAAGACACGAAATATAATAAAGTGTCAGTAGAGTCATTTTAACTTAATTCGCTCCAAGTTAGATTAGGGTACCTTTGATACAGGTAGCGCCAGCAGGCTGCGCCACTAGGGCGCATGTCGGGTCTCGATGCGTAGCCACCTCCACGTGGTGAGACCTGGTAATTGGTATTGTTTTCCAAAGATTTTTCTTTGCGAACCGATACCAAGCTAAGAGCTACGCACCAAAGTTGAAATATTAGTTATAACTTAGTTATAAGTTAGTTATAAATTTGTCGCCATTTAGTTATAAGTTAATTATAAATTAGTCATTAATTAGTTATAATTTAATTATAAGCCAGTCATTATTTAGGTATAAATTAGTTTAAGTTAGTCATTAATTATAAGTTAGACATTATTTAGCCATAAGTGAATTATAGATTATACATAATTCAGCAATGATTTAGTAATAAGTTTAAGATATGTCCTATCTCTTGCAAACTTTCAGTGTTCTGTTTGAACTTTGAAAATTAAGAGTGGACCATATCTGCTAAAGTAATATGTAAATTAAGAAGAGATCAGTTGGGGAAGTAAGGTAAGTAAAGAAGTAAGGTAAGTAACGTAAGTATGGTAAATAAGCTAAGTAAAATCTTTAAAATCTTCTGGAACGAATAGTCTACATATAGTATGTATATTCGCGCAATTGCTGCGAAATTTGTTTCTATAAAGTTCCTGGAAAGTGACGTCATTTCTTGGAATCGATCGGCAAACAACCTCCTCTCATGTTATGCTATCCTG